AGGTTTAATACCCAATTTTGTCCCCACTTTGGTTCGGAAATCTCAAGTTAGTCCCTTTATAGAAATGTAAGTGCAATGGATCCTTACTTGTAATTATTTGAGTCTAATGAGTCCCTTCCGTTAAATAGAAGGAAACGGAGTTAGTGGGCTGATGATGTGGCAGTTGTCTTTGGTGAGGTGTCAAGACGCAATTGTTTGCGTGCTTACGTGGTGTTAGGGTTTCCCATTTTGTTTGCGTGCTTATGCAGTTGTCTTTAATATTCTTTTTAATTTGATATACAACAAATTTAATTGAACTGAGAAAAATAGAAAAGAAACATACCGACAGTAATGGACACGTATGTAATTAGTTTCATGAATAAGCAGTTTACTCATTTTTATATTGCACAGGAAAGAAGATGAGGTATGTTTTTTTATCCGTTACAGTTCCTTTGCTTCCCCATCTCTCTCACTTTCACCATTACCTCTCATCGCACACAACCAAAGAGAACAAACCAAAAGCACCGCGAATTGCAATTAGGGTTTATACTCCGTTACCTTTCGCGGTTTTTGCGAGATTGAGGATTCGATGATGATGGAAGGAGCTAGCAATGGAGGGATGCTGTACCACGAGGTGCAGGAGTCGAAGCTGTGTGCGGTGCATTGTGTGAACACCGTTTTGCAGGGTCCGTTCTTCTCGGAGTTCGATTTGGCCGCGCTCGCCTCTGATCTCGATCGCAAGGAGCGCCAGGTCATGCTGCCCGCACTCTCCTCTTCCGATTTCGAATCGCACAATGTGTCGCTCGACGGTGATTTCTCCCTCTGTCTTCTTTCTCGCACACGGAGATGCCCTAATCTCCAACAAATCATCCCCAAATCCTTTTATCCTCAATTTTTAATAAAACCCAATTTCAAAATGGGAACCCTGACACCAGGTAAGCACGCAAACAATTGCGTCTTGACACCTCACCAAAGACAACTGCCACATCATCAGCCCACTAACTCTGTTTCCTTCTATTTAACGGAAGGGACTCATTAGACTCAAATAATTACAAGTAAGGATCCATTGCACTTACATTTCTATAAAGGGACTAACTTGAGATTTCCGAACCAAAGTGGGGACAAAATTGGATATTAAACCTATATATAAAGCTTATAAGAGGTGGGGAAACTTGTATTTCTAATCTTGTTATCAAATTTATAATTTTGAAAGTTTTTTTTTATCTGATAGAACTTTTCATACTAGTGCAGAAAAGGCTTTTAACGTCACCCTTTAGACGTCTGACTCTCGAATATCAAATATAAAAAATGACTGGTGACATTTTTCGTAAATAAAACAATCATATAGATGTCTGTTCTGGAGGGAACAAACGTCTAAAGACATATAGACGTCTTATGTGGGGGAACAGACCTCTATATACTCATTTTTGAAATCTAAAAAGTCACCTTTTAACTCCATTTAGACGTCCGATCCCGCTAATCCGACTTCTAAAGCCTTTTAGACGTCTGATGTGGGAGGAACTGAATTTTATATACTCATTTTTGAAATATAAAAGGTCACTTTTTAACTTCATTTAGACATCCGATTGTAACATCCCAAAAATATAGCTTAAAACTATATAATGGAGTTAACATATAATAATATGGTATGACAGTTATAAGGTTTACAAAGATCCTAAAATACCCTGAAATTTAAAACTTTACAAGGTAGGTCCAATACAAAATATGCGAATAGACCGAACGATTCTAAAACTATATTTAAAGCCGAACGATTAATACGAAAGATACCCAACTTACTGACCGAACGATCCTAACTTAAACTACAGGGTCCTCGCCTTCCAATGCTTCTTCCAGTGAACACTCCTCACCTTCTGTTCACATCCACAGGATGATCATTTCAAGATAGAAGACGACCGAACGGGAAACATAATACAAGACAGAAAATGTAGGGTAAGCTAGTGTAATTTAATTAATCATAATATTATAAACAATCATATTAAATCAAGCATTTAAACAATCATCATCCAGTATTTCAAGCAAAAACCGACCACTTGACTTGATCATCCAGATTGTATGAATATGTAGCTTGAGGCCGTTCTTGCACTCGGGTGGTGTAGTAACTGAAAACCCCTCAGCTGTCACCCGAGGTTAGTCTGTCATACCTCACCCAGATCTCCTCTGGACTAGGACCTCCTGCCATTCTCACCACATGACTTACTCATCTCTACTTGAGAACTAGTAGTCATTAGAATTTCAGGATGAACGCCGTGAATTTCACTATCCATATTCATACTTCACCAATTCCATAACCATTCACCGAGACGAAAATAGAAAACTAAACTTAGACCAAGAGTTATATTCACTTATACCAATTAGAGAACCAATCGGTCATTAACTGAAATTCTATTGAAGTAGAATTTACTTAAGACTAAGCACACTGGGAATAAACCGAACAATCACGAATGACTTTCGAAGACAAGTAATAATTCTGCAAAATACTACAGATTTATGATCATACCCCATTCCTACCCAATTCACACCATTCATCAATCATCAACCCATACAGAAGAACATGTAGTAACACAAATATTTCATATCCATCAAAAATCAAATAAAGTATCATTCAAACATATAATCATTCAAAACAGAAAATCATAATTAAATTATACAAGCTTTCCTTACCTTTTTAACAGACCAGCTACTTAATCAACAACAGAAATACGTCCACCAAACACCAACTTTTCTAGAATGCCTAAAACACATCAAATAATAAGGACAGATCAATTTAAAGACCAAAATATGATCAGGATTTGTGAAGATGAAGTTGATGAACACATGCAACCATAACTTTGGCTTGCATGTGCCCGAAACCAGTTTTCTTAGAAAGAGAAGGAACTTACCAGCTTAGAATCACAAATTGACCGGTGCAAAGTAAAGTCCTTGACACCAGGAGTACTCAGGCGTTGCCTGATTGATGATCGGAAGAAGAAAAGATAAGAGTTTATAGAAAGAAGAAGAAGAAATTTAGAGAGAAGCTAGAGAGAAAGATGAGATTTTCAGAAAGTTGAAGAAGAGATGGTGCATGCAGAAAGTGGAGCGTGATTTGAAATTTTTCTTTAAATACCACCGTTAAAACCGAACGGTCCACTCTACTGCTCACACCTGTCTTCCACTTTCTGAAATTTCAAATTCCCTGCACCAACACCTGGCTTCCACTATCACTACTGAATTTAAGGGTTCTGACACCGATCCCGCCAATCCGACTTCTAAAGACCTTTAGACGTTTGATGTAGGGGGAACCAACTTCTATATACTCATTTTTGAAATCTAAAAAGTTCCTTTTTAACTCCATTTAGACGTCCGATCCCGCCAATCCGACTTCTAAAGACCTTTAGACGTCTGATGTGGGGGAACCGACTTCTATATACTCATTTTTGAAATCTAAAAAGTCACTTTTTAACTCCATTTAGGCATCTGATTCCGCCAATCCGACTTCTAAAGACCTTTAGACATCTGATGTGGGGGGAATCGACTTCTATATACTCATTTCGAAATCTAAAATGTCACTTTTTAACTTCATTTAGACGTCCGTTCCCGCCAATCCGACTTCTAAAGCCCTTTAGACGTCTCATGTGGGGGGAACCGACTTCTATATGGCTGCATTAAAACACCGCGAACGCGAGGCAGCAATTACGGGTACTCACTTTTCATCATCTTCCTCGCGTTTTCTCTCCACAGGCTATGTTTTATAGGTTCGTTTTCTCACTTTTGCACCGTTTAAAATTAATTTTACTCCGATTACATCACTCTTTGATGCATTATCTTTCATTTAAACCGATTAAAATGTGTTTTCGTTGGGTTTTAGTGCAGTTTTGCTCGTGTCCTTGGGCGACGTTTTTGGGCGGCGATTTCTTGCGTTTTGCACTCCTCCAATTCCCTCCACTACGTTTTTAAAACCATCCAATACAAAAAAAAATGTACAATACATTCTCTTCAACTAAAATATAAAGTTGTAAACTCGAATCACCATGAGCCAGGAGCAACCCGAGAGGCCTCAAGCGAAAAAAGATCCAATCAAATACGACAATGTTTTAGACATCTGATCTATAGGGTCCGACGTCTCATTAACGTCACCCACATAAATGTCGGACAACGATCAGACGTTAAAACCTCAAAATAACATACGTCTAAAGCTCTTTATGTACTAGTGTCAGGACCAATGTTTTAAGGACGATGCATTTGCATCATATTATTTGTTTACGTATATCATAAAGGTGAACTTCGTCCATGCTACGAAAATAAATTTTAATAATTTTGCATAAAAAATATATATTAAAATTAAGTTTTAGTTTAAGTATATTATTTTTACTCCTTAAAATCATATTTCATCATATCATATCATATCATATCATATTATATTATATTATATATATATTTTTTGTTTTTTTTTCTTTAAAAATATTTTAAGAGTTTACATGTGATAAAATTTAAATTAATTTTATGAAATTAAGCTAATAAATAATTAATTTTCTATAATTAAGTTAAGCAAATTTTTGTAATTAAATTATTAAATATTCTTTAATTATGTTGTGCATAATTACATTTCTAATTTAGATCATATTTTTAAGTATATATGTTTATCTATGATACATAATGAGACACACGTTTAAATAGTTTTTCTTTTTTACATGATATCATGAGTCTGTCTTTAATCTAGATCTCGTTTCTTTGCATTTGACGTCGTACACTCTTTCTCTTTTCTACATCACTTCACGTTCCAAGCTCTCTCTTACGCAACTGTTGCTACCAATTGTCGTCGCACTAGTACAAAAATAGCGTATAAAATCACGTGTTCAACGTTTAACCACTGAATAACCAATGTTAAAAATGACCAGTGACATTTTTGTAAATAAATGCAATTATTAGACGTCGTTTAGAACTATAATTCGACATCAATTTGTTATAAGACATCGAATATTGAGAAGTCTGACGTCCTATTAGATAAATTTTGCAAAAATGTTTTGCCCGAAAGTGAAAATATACTTACGTATGACGTCGAATGCCCTAGAATTAGTCGTCAAAAGGTTATAAAACGTCGAATGCCCTAGCGTTAGACGTCAAAAGGTTAGTGAATTCAATAAAAATTTAAGCAGGAGATTGAAAATTCATTCACTTTATCTTAGCGCGCGAGACCCTTCTCTATTCTCAAACTTTTCTCGAACGAAGTTTGACGGCCATCACATGTAATCTTTCTTTCATTTGATACAAATGCATGTTAATTAACTACTTTAGGTATGATTTTCGTTTCTTTTGACCGATTATTTTCGTCTTCTTGTCCTTCATAGGCACATTCTACTTTCTATCTCACGGGTGACAACACTTTATTCTGACGAACCCACCTTTTGAAGGTTAATTTTCGTTTTCATTTTGAAGAACTTATTTGTTAAACTTTTTTCTTGTTGTTGTTTGATTAAAATTGTTTGTTGTGGTTGTTTTGTTGAATTTTTTTGTTGTTGTTATTTGTTATTGATACTACACTGCACATTCATAGTTTGTATTTTATAAAATATCAAAAACTGAAATTTGTTGTTTTTCTATTTTTCAGGTCTTCGTAGAGTTAAAAAAAAGGATCACAATTAATTAAGAAAAACAAAAAATTTGATTAACGTCATATATTGAAAAAATTCGACGTTAAGTGACGTAACGTCGAATTTTTTAAATTCGACATCAATTTAACGTCTCTTGATATGACGTCGGCCTTGAATTCAATGTGAAAGGCCAAAAAACATCGACGTTATACGATGTTTTTGTAATGTTAATATCATTCGCTATATGTAGATTTTCAGACCTAAAAGGAAACTTGATGATTATTTTGATCGTTACAAAGCTCATCTTGTAAGTGATGGTAGGTCTCAAATTACAAGTGTAGATTGTGATGAGGCGCTTAGTCCTATGGTCAAACCTACGATCATTCACATGGTTCTCATCGTTGTTTTCTCCATATCCTGGCTCATTCATTAGTTGGATGTTGAAAATGCATTTCTCCATGGTAATCTACATGATACTATATATATGCATCAACCATTCGGTTTCTATAATCTCCTTCACTTTGATCATGTTTGTCACTTGAGGAAATCCTCTTTGGTTTGAAGCAAGCGAATCGTGAGTAGTACCAGCGCTTGCTTAATACATTTCTACCATTGGATTCTAGCATAATGCTTTAGATGACTCTCTCTTCATCTATCGGTGTGGTTCTAACATGACATACATGTTCCTCTATATTGATGACATCATTCTCATCACTAATGGCATTCATTGCCTTTGAATTTGCTATGAATGATCTAGTTCCTTTGAGTTATTTTCTTAGGATTGTTGTGACAAGACATGTAGGTGACATGTTCCTCAATCAGAGCCCTTATGTTAGTAACATCATTACACGTGTCAACATGACCTCTTGTAATCCTTGTGTTACTCTGGTTGATACTAAACAAAAGCTCAGTACATCCTCTAAAACACCATATGAGGATCCCATTATGTATCAAAGTCTTGTTGGCACCGTACAATATCTCACCTTCTCTCACATTAACATTTCATATGTTGTTCAATAGATTTGTCTTCACATGCATGCCCCGCCTACATTGAGCACATGTTGGCCTTGAAACACATTTTGCGGTATGTTCAAGGTACCTTACAGTATGGTTTGCACCTCTATCCGACCTATATTAAGAAACTTATTTCTTACAATGATGCTAATTTGGGAGGATGTCCTGACACCAGACGCTCCACATTTGGTTACTGTGTGTTTCTTGGTGACAACCTCATCTCCTGGTCTTCGAAGCACCAATATATTCTCTCTCGTTCTAGTATAGAAGCTGAATATTGAGTTGTTGCAAATGTTGTTGTTGAATTTTGTTGGCTTCACAAACTCCTACTATAGCTTCATTTTCCTCTTCCTCTAACTACTTTGGTATACTGTGATAATGTTAGTATCATTTATCTATCTAGTAATCTTGTGCAACATTAATGCACAAAAATAGCACATGGTCAGACACGAGTTCTTTATGTCTCTTTCTGCCACCATATCACTGACATCTTCACCAAAAACCTATCTCGAGTTCCTTTTTATGATTTTTGAACCACTCTAAGTGTTTATAAACTTCCCGCTTAGACTAGAAAAATGTGATAAAATTCAAATTATTCTTTTGAAATTAAATCAATCAACAATTAATCTCTTGTAATTAAGTTAATCAAAATAATTACATCTCTCATTTATTTTATGTATATATGACAATGAACAAGTAAAAAAAGGCATTCTTTTTTTAGTGATGTGAGATGTGGAAGGTAATGGTAAGAGGAAGCACTTGAAAGATGTTAGTATCATAAGTCAGATGATGCTAATGAATCACTTGGTTGCTACCTCAACCATGGCTAACTAAATATATTTTCCATGAGAGACATCTTATGCCACATAGTTATTATAATAAGACACACCTTAACGTAAGGTAGTTTTATATTTTAATACTTTTTTCTTAAAATAAAAAGGTTACATATGTTCATACCATATAATGCAGAGAGTTAGCACTAGAGAAGATATTTATTGATTTAAAACTTCAAATCTCATAACATTAATTCAAATAATATAGTTTAGTAATAATATAGTTTAGTAAACAAGTTACATACCAAAAACAAGAAAAGGTTTACAAAAGAAAAATAATTTTATGAACAATGTTAATTATATATACAAAAAATCCCAAGAGAATGTAGAGTAATAATTATGTAAGAATGAGTGGGAGAGCTTAATTAAAGAATGGTTTTCTTGAAGGAGTGTGAGTGACTTAATTTTCAAGGTTCGTATATATGGTTTTGCTTTGTAATGTTATTATGGATTGAATGAAACACTTTGAATTGAAGTAGGTAACATAGAGTTTGGATTTTTCTAGTGGTTTTAAAATTTGACTTCATATATTTTTATTTTTTTTATTTAGATCTATGAAATTTAAATTACTCGCTCGGTAAAGGATTAATCTTTTAAATTTATATTTTGATGTAATTAATTTAAATTTGATTTTTAAAAAGACCAAATTTATTTACATTAATTTTTATTAAGTAACATGATTTAAATTTTACATAAAAACAATTTTTTATCTGAATTTATATTTTAGAAATTTGTTTTTTTAAATAAAATTAATTTAAAAAATATTTATGAATATCCATGAATAGCTAACCCGATTGTTTTAAAAGAGAAGCAATAATGAGTAAAGGCTTTGTATATCATAAAGATGTAAGATGAGCACAGGCAGATTTGAGGAGAGAATCTATATTCGGTAAGATATATGAATGGAAAGAAGGAAGATAGAAAAAGAAAGAGATGAGTTAGAAGTGAGACAGACTTTTTGAAGTTTTGCTTTGGTGAGTTGTTTTTACATCCTTTTTTTGCAGTATGACGGTTGGAGTTTTGAAGAGTGTTGTTCCCTGAGAGCTTTTAGTTGACGTGTTGAGTTACCCTATGGCATAAGTTTTCACGAGAGAAGAAGAGAAGAGAAGAAAGAAGGGATTTAGTGAAAAAGTGGAAAGGAGGAAGCAGAGTGAATGTCCATCACTTTCGATGGAATGTACTTCCCCTTGAATAATTGAACATGAACATGAAGATGTTTTGAAGGGTTGAGGAACAATGATGGAAAAGCCATGGCATGATAGGAACTTAAAAAGAAATTAGTACTTTGGTTGTCTTAGACAAAATTGAAATGCTCACAAACCAATGTGGCAGGAAAGAAGGGGGACATGCTTAGGTTTGCTGTGAATTCTTTATGGAAACTATGATTTCGACATGTCAGAGACAACCTAGCTGCTACCTAGCTACCTATTCCCTTTCTTATTTATTTATATTTTTTTTATATCTTACTTCCCCATGTGAACCCTCTTCAAACCACATAAATACTTAACAACAACTCCTCCTCCCATTTCAATTATCAACTCTAAAGTTACTTCCCTATCTTTTAAGCCTTTCTGTCTTGTTATGTTCTTTTCTCTCCTCTTAAGACACCTCACACCTCAACCAATCTCATATCAAACCCATTGCTTGCACAAACATTTTCTACCTTTTCTTACTTTCATCAACTTTATATATATTCATGTATATTTTTCAAGTTATATCTTATATGTATTTTATAAAACTTATATAAAATATTCTCTCCAACAAATTAAATGTTTTTCATACAATAAATAAAGTTTCACATAAAACTATAGTATAACATTTATGTGTCATTTTATTATAGTAGATACACATAACTTTCATAAAATACATGGGCCATGGACGAAATAAAATATAGTTTGGGTTAGAAACAAAATACAACTTTTGAAAATAATTTATCACACAACATATTTAACTTTAATATATATATATATATATATATATATATATATATATATATATATATATATAAATTTGGACGTAAATTTAAAATTTATTAATATTTTAAATTTTAATATATTTTAGTTCCTAAACTTAAAAAATAATTAAATATAAATTTTTTTAATCCAGTGACATCAACTTAATTTTATATATTAAACCGTGTTTCAAACTAATATTTGAATTAGAGTGTTGTCAAAATAGACATTCGGTCTACCACAAAATGGTACTTAAGGAGTTAATCCAATTCGACTCATTTATTAATAAGTAAAAAGAAATTGAATCTGATTCAACTCACGACGGGTTGGTGAGTCAAACGGGTTAGTTTATTAACTCACTAATGACAAGTTTTTTTTTTCAATTTCAATTGTTGTTTTCTAATTAAAATCTATATAAATTTCAATCATTAAATTCCAAAGACAATTCAAAATAAAAAGATATATATAATACAATCCAAAATCATTTTAAACTCTGGTGAGCCAACTCGGCTTATCACGAATTTAACCTAGGTAAATCGGATTCTTAGTGGATTAGATCAAAATTGACACATACTAAAATTTTAATTGTTTTTTAATTCAACTTGATCTAAACATGTGGTAGATCGAGTTTCCTCACGAGTTTCAATCCATTTTGACAACGTTAATTGAAATGTGTCAAATAATTTAAACAACACAAATAATAACGTGAAATACTATTTAACATATAAAAAATTTGACATTGCTATATTGAAAAAACTATATCTATTGATTTTGTAAGTGTAAAGGTGAAAATATCAAAATTTAAAACATTTTCACGTATTAAAAATGTATTTATAAGTTGACATACGAATTATTAAAGTTGCAACTTGCAAGTAATTGATAAGAATAATAAAATGGACCTCTTATATCCATAGCCGACCTGAATAACACTTATAATATAATTTATGTACATAGCCTTTGAAGACAATTAGTCCCTATCCCTATAACGTGATCATAACTTAATTATTTTATTTAATGTTGTGGGTTTTTTATTTTGTGTCTTGAAATTACAGAAAGGAAGCATGTTAGGATTAAAATAAATGGAAAAAGAATGGAGTTGCATTTTGAAGCACATGGGATGGTGAAGACCAGAAAAAGGGACTAATCGGTGCCTCCCTTTTCCATCACGGATCCTTTGATAGCAACAACTTCATAGATATTAGGGCAAGCTCAATCATGCATGTAATTAACAACTTTTTCTTAAAACAAATTTCACATTAAAGTGCTATAACTTTTGTTTAGTACGACAAATCAAAATTAAATTCTTCATATAAATAATAGACACTCATGAGAATGTACTTTTATATTTGATTTTTTATTGGGAAGATTTAAAAAAAATTTTGTTTGAGTTGGTTATTAAGATTAATTATTGATCTTTTATTAGAGATGTTTTGAAAAAGTTTTTTAAAAATACATAACAGTAATAAAGTATGAATTTAATCTATATAAAAAATTAATATTACAAAACTTTATCATGAGATTTAACCTTTTCTATTTTTTAATTTTTGTTCAAGTTATTAATAAACATATGTTAAGACAAGAAATTCACTAGAAGACACAATATCAAATGTATATGAATCAAATCATATATGATATTAATAACACTTTCTATTAAAAACCTTGAAACAATAAATTAATGAATTTTTTTATTTTTTTACTTTTTCATTTATATTTAATATGAAACTTTCACTTACATTTGGATTCCTCTTCATCTTATTTAAATCTTTTTCGTTAAATGATATTTTTTTTTTAAAATAACATTTTATATGTTTATTGTGAGTAAATATATCTTTTTATTATATCATTGGATTATATTTCAGTACGATGAATTAGTAAAATTTTGTTCACTTTTCGATTTGTATATTCAAAATTTAATAAACAAAAAATCTTGATAACCTAAACTCAAGTTGTACATAATATTAATTTATGTTTGCAAAAAAGATAAGATTGGTTGGTGACGCAAGCGTAACACAAATAAAATAGTCCTCACTCAATTGGTATGAGTGTCAACACAAATTCTTTTAAATGTATAGAAACAAAGATATTTTAATATTTGAAATTTAATCGAATTAAGGCTTATATGATATAATGGTGTCTTTGACATTATTACATGTCTTTGCAATTTTTTATGAAGCTTCACAATTTTTTATAACACAATAAAAGGAAAAAAGTTTGAAGTTGAACACAAAGTGAATTGTTTAGATAATAGAAGATAATAAAATAAATCAGATTAAGAAATAAGAGAGGAAGATGAAGATGCATGCATCTTCAAAAGTTAATGTTATTGTTTAATGTTTATCTTCATAAAAAATTAGGTTCATCACGGATTTCAATAACGTGGTCACCTAAAATAAGTCATACCCAATCGCTAGATTTTTTTGTCAGGTTAATTTTCCTATAATTATGTTATAAATAAGAACAACGTATTTTTTTGTGATAATTAATTTTTTTAACTAT